ACCTATGCACATAAGTTTACTAGCATGGCAGGGCTGTGGACTAGACTAGTTCAGTAGAACTATTTTCACAGTCCTCATCAGATTGTTTTTTTTATCTATTTAACTACTTGTATTTTCCTTTTTTCTGATGAAATGAACATATACATTACTAAACTGTACAAACTACTAGTTTGACTCACACATGTGGTGTATGCATCTGTTCTCAGACATTGAACCGGTTTCGTGGCATATTTTTGGACATTTTGGACAAAGTTTTATCATATATGCATGTCGATTCGTTTTTGGATCTGTGTATGTTAAGTATGGGATTTGAGGTCAAACATTTACGTATAGGCAATTTCCCAAAATGTATTAAGAGAAACTGTTTGCACAAACTGTGTAATTTTTGTTTTCCATTCAATTATCCTGACTATCAATTAGTCCCGCTATTACAGGATTTTTGTGGCACTGATTCAAATGACGTCCGTTGATCTTTGAGAATTTATTGACTAGAATTTCATTCGTCTCGCGGACATTGCTGTCAAGATCAGCACTTTCTCTTTATATAGACTTTATATAGACTCCTTACTGTTCTTTTTTACAAAAAAAAAAAAAAAAACGTGTTTGTATGAAAGAGTGGTGCGTCAAACAAAATACTGCCCTCAAACAAAGCATGCGCCGTATCTGTGCAAACTTCTGCGGATGTCACACTTCCATGCATTTACCGGTACGTCAATTACCACTTTTAATTATCGTTTGACGGGAGTCAATGCGAAGCTTACAAAGATATACATGATTGGCTACCCAACCTGAACATCTAACAGGCAGACCAATCAGAGAGCAGCTTGTTTGTTGCAAGTTTTTTCGACGTATCTAATTCTTCCTTGTAAGTGTATGCTGTCTGATAGGTCAACCAGTCTGACCTGCAATGGGATCTCGCTCTAACGCATATTAAATCAGTACTCGTGCCATCTCCGTCCAGACAGCACAGCAGGCTTCCAACCAACGTTTCAGAGTGAAAGGAAGGTATGAGCTACATTGATTATTCTTGACGATGCGCACCCACTGTTGCACTTCTTAGTCACAGTCGAATCGGGCCGACGATTTATTCGTGTTGGTTGTTGAAGCTCGGGAGGGGGGGGGGGGGGAGCAATACATAGAACTTGCCTATGACGTGCCCCTGAAATGGGTGTCGTTTTTCGGATTTTAGGTATAAGTATCGGTCTAATTTTTGGCCAAGATAGGTATAAATATCGGTAATATTTCTCTGATTTGGGTTCGTATATGAGCGAATATCTACACAAATTGTACTTATGGGTATAAAAATGGTCACAATTTTGTATCAACTGCCCCCCCCCCTCGGTGTTGAAGTCGATGCATGAATGTCTATACCATACTAACAAAATACAATAGAATTAAAACAAATGTAAAGATTTACTCTCCGAAAATCTGAAGACAACATGCAGCCCATGTGTTGACTTTAGCAACCCTACGAACAGACAGTGCCACAGAGTTTCACACAATATTCTTTTTTGTTCTCTTATGTAAGTAAGTAAGTAAGTAAGTAAGTAAGTAAGTAAGTAAGTAAGTAAGTAAGTAAGTAAGTAAGTAAGTAATTCTTTATTGCTATCGTATCCCATTTGAGATCTTGACATAAAGTACAATAAAGTCAAAAACATGTAAAAATAAAAAAAAATGAAAATAAAAGGAAATACTAAAAATACTGTAAATGAATGAAATAAATACATATCTCACAATAAGAGACAAATGAATAATTGTAATATAATGTAAATAAATGTAAATCTGTGTTTTGTGGGTTTTTTTTTTGAGACAGCTGGTACTGAAGTTATTGTTTGATTTTTTGCTCCCTAAGCATAAAGCAAGTATAAATGTGTTTTGAAACGTCTTTAATTATGTGATCGTTTTTATTATTTAATATGTTTATTAATGTCTCTCCATACATTTTATGTTTAGTAAAAAGGCTGGTTCTCTCTTTATCATATAGCTGGCACGTGAAAAGGAAATGTTTCTCATTGTATGTATTTCAGCGTGGAATGAGGCTAGAAAATCACATGATCTACGTGATCTGTCCGCTCCACGCTAAATTGTTGGGTATAAACCGGCTTCAGAAATGACCTCCTGTATGCAGTTACTGAAGCTAACAAGCAGTAATAATTGTACATCCAGTGGACACTTCTCTATGTTTACCAAGTTAAATTGTACACTGTCCTGCGTTTACTGAACTAAATTGCTCCAGTTGTAGTGACACTTGTATGTGTTCACTGAATTAAATTGTACTAGTTGTAGTGACACTTTTCCAGGCAAAGCATATAGAAGGCAGAATTCGATTACAAAACTGTCAAAGAAGCTGCTATCTGATTGGTCTGACTGTTAGGTGTTATGGTTGGGTAGCCAATCAGACGCAGTCTTGTAAAATGAATCATAACAATTGTATTGATAATTCAATGTGTTTACTAAATTAAATTGTACTAGTTGTAGTGACACTTCTCTATGATGTTATTGAAAGGTTGAAAGTTCAATGCTACCACATATGCATGCCATGAGTGACCTGATGCATGAATTCATGTGTGAATTAATCCTGGGTCAGTACAACTTTCTCAGATCAACAAAACTATCATTTGCTTAATTTTGATTATCTGATTGCACTTGCATTATATTTTTTAGGGAAAACCAGAACACCTAGTTTTTTTAGAACAATTTTTAGCTCAGCTGTCGAGCGGAGCTTAACATAAGAATGATTGTCCGTCTGGCGTCCGTCGTCCATGTCAACTTTTTACATTTTCAACATCTTCTTGAAACTACAATTCTTATGTGCCTTGAGCAAACCTCTAATTTTGATGTATATTTTTGTTATTTTTGGTTAAAGGTGATATTTTCAAATTGTTGTTGAAAACAGAAAGTCTGATTGCAGCTTTGATACAATGTATTATACATATTGTTCATTTTCTAATGATATTTTTTGTTCTTTAATTGGAATGTGCATTGCTAACAGGTGGGGTGGGGGTGGAGTGTACTGATTTGGAGTATGGGTATCCATGTCAAAAGCATACCCTATTTGTATACTTTACACAGACAAATAAAAACCAGTCCCCTTTTAGAATTCTGAACACCAATTAAGGTAAAGTGGGCACTTTCAGAGCTCAGTAAATAGTTCCACCATACATAAAAATTAGTGTTCCCAAATGCAGTTTGCCCATATACAATTTGACAATAATAAAAAATCTGTTGATACAGCTACCATTAGTAATTTATTATTATTTAGCTCTTGAAATTTAAAGAATAAAAAATCAAAAACTTTTTATCTAAGCAAAGATCCACAGAATAGACTTTTAATATTCAAATGATACAACCTAGAACACGACTGTGAACAAATGCTTTAAAAAAGAAAGAGGGAAGTCAAATACATTTTTGTCCTGATAAATATTGGGAAATGACAAAAGACTTATGGGAAACCAAGAAAAAAAAATGAAACTTGAAGATCAAAAATGATATGAACCTTTCAAAAACCTACTGTACATGCATCCAAATCTAAAAACAGTGACATTAAAGAAATATTTTTACCAGCCAGATAAAAATTCAAAAGGGCTATTAGCAGCCTAAAAAATGGTAAAACTACCGGTAATTCAATGTGATTCAATGACTCTTCAATTTAATTGTAGGGAGTGGTATGGTAACTTTCCTTCAAACTGGAACATGGGTATTACCACACCTATCCACAAAAAAGTGATATACTGATAACCAAAATATATTCTATTTGATATATTCTCAAAACATTGACCAAACTGTTTATATCAATGTTGAAACAAAGGCTAACAATTAACCTTTACAAAACAAATTGTCATCATAGTCAGGCAATTTTGCACATTTTCTGTTCAGTCCACCTCTTGATTAACATCAAAAACAAATTTTCTCAGCTTTTCTTCATTCTTTACCCTTGAATAGTTGACTCACCGACTGCTAAATCACGTGCAACCCTTGACTAACTTTCACCTTTTTTGACACAGTCGAATGTTGCAAATTTATTACATACGGACAGACTGGATAGCTTTTGCTTAGACATGATGCTCAGTTGAGAAGTAGAGATCAGAGTGATGGACTCAACTCATTGTAGCGAGTTATATAGAGCTATATCAAAAGGAACCAATCGGGAAATACATAAAGTTGTGATACCTCTGTCGATTATTTAGGTAGAAAATTAAATTAAAATGAAAATTTGATGTTTGCACTACAAAACCTGGAAAATTGATCTTCAAAGATATGCTTTTAAAATAAAACAACTACTCTATTTGGAAACATAAGTATATATACTGGTAGTACATAATCTGATAGATTCAGAATAATATAATTATAAATCAGTGATGTATATTACTCAGTATTTCCAACCTACTCTTAGAATTATGTAGTTCACTGACCACACCAGAACTACAGATATAAGGGTTGTACCATTATTTTTGCAGGGAGGTGACTTTTCAGGTGCTGTGTAATCTCGCATTTCTTTTTTTCTGATTTTAGCATAATCGTGACAATAATTGCATTGTCTTATTGTTAGTCATTACAGTAAATTTCATTAATATTTTTGACTAATCACAAGTTGTTTATGGATGCATAGCAATAAATTTATTAATGATTGAATGAAACGCTCTAAGACTTAGGAATTACAAAATAGCCAATGAAAGCATATTCTTTTGATACAAATGAGGCATGACCGTCTTCCAGGATAAAAAAAAAACATTAATGCCTTCGTGAAAGTTGCTGTATCTACTGACTTTAAAATCCAATTTGAAGAAGAATCAGCACAATGCCTCACAAAAAAATATTTCCTAGCATTCAGTGTTTGCAATCATCCCAGATGTAATAAACAGACGAGACAACCAATGAAAATGAGACAAATGTTTGGTGTATATTTGACATGTTATTTGAATCATATTTTCATGTTTCACAGCCTTGTGGGGTATATCTGTTTTTACATGTGTTTGCTATCACAGGATTTAATTAAATTTGTAGAGATGTTTAGAATAACGCATTTTCTGTTTTCTTTCACAGTTATAACATAGAAAAGATATATTTAATTTAATTGGTGTACTTCTTTGATTCAATCATGGATGACGTCATGGGAGCAAAGACTATTGCCTTATTTGGCTTACTGGCTGAAGTATTGATATTTGGATTTATCCCCCTTGTGTGTGTAAATGCCGTGAGAACGCAAGACAGATTCAGTACCACGAAACGCATCATCAGTTGGTTGAGTTGTTTTGCGGGAGGTGTCTTCTTAGCTACAAGTTTGATCCACATGCTTCCTGAAGTACGAGAGACACTTGCAGGTGCTTTAGAAGGATTGGATGTGCATACACACTTTCCCCTTGCAGAGTTTTTAACAGGAATAGGCTTTTTTATAATTCTAATCACTGAACATTTTGCGTTGATGTGCCATGATTCACAGGCGGCAACCCCTACGACTGACCGTGTTGAACAAAAATACACTGAAGAGACACCGCTCATGGACAACAAAAATGATGATGAGATAACTGTAATTCCCGATAGAAATATCGCACGAGAGAGATCCACATCCATTTCTGAGGCACATCAACATATACCTGAAAGTGGATCTGCATTGCGTTCAGTTCTCTTTCTCCTAGCTCTGTCTCTCCACTCAATCTTTGAAGGCATGGCAGTGGGTCTGCAAAGTGACGTCTCCAGCACACTAGAACTATTCATAGCTATTGCACTCCACAAAGGAGTTGTCGCTTTCAGTTTTTCCTTGAATCTTATACAAAGCAAGTTGAGTAAGGTTGCCATGGTGATGTCAATTATTACATTCGCTGTAATGTCTCCCATTGGGGTAGCTATCGGTATGGCTGCCTCGGCTGCTGCCACTACAGGTCCAGAGGCCTTGTTTGCTAACGGCTTTCTGCAAGGTCTAGCGACAGGAACTTTTCTCTACATAACATTTTTTGAGATTCTTCCACATGAATTGAACGAGCGTCGCGATGGGATGATTAAAGTATTGTGGATTCTACTGGGCTATGCAGTGATGACAATTATTAACTTGTCAGTGCCTCATGAGCATTAAAAAGAATTATTAAGCAGACAGTTTCTCATAAAATCTGCATGAATATTGCTGATTTGATGTTCCATCCTTTATTGGGATGACAGTAGAGCTAATAGATACTGAATTTTCCATAATTTACCAGAAATTTTCAGCTATGACGTATCTACACAGAGTGCAATGTTGTCATGTATGCTACTTAGTTTCTATTGATCAGAGATAGTATAGCCTAGAAACATGAATGTAGTTTGTGTTCTCTGAGAACAAAACAGGCTGCTAGTCAGTGACAATGAGAAAAAAAAGGGGTTAGAAGAGACAAAAATAAAGTCCTATAAATGTCAGTAGGCAATTTTGTTTCAAATGAAACCGTTACAAAAATGTGTTTGATTGTGAAATATAGTACCGGTAGTAGTTTTTAGGAAGTAAAGTTCACACTATTTTTATAGAAGAATTGTTTTAAATCGTATATTTTATGAAAGCTTACAATTCCTACTAATAAAGAAAATCAATGTTATTACATAAGATGCAACCTTCATGTGATCTGTGACTGCCGAGTAAATAAATCCTTTATTGAAGATTAAAAAAAAAGTATGTGAAGAAATTATACAAACCATACAAAAATGTAAGATGCAAGAAGTGAAGTCACAGCAAATTTGCACAATTTTTTATTGCTTATTTTATGTTTTTACATTCAGAATGCATAAATTTAAAAAACGATTGATTGATCATTTTGATGTCAGAATTAAAACAAAGAAATATACTAATTTGCATATTGATAATTATTTAAGTGATCATAAAATCTTATGACCAATATTTTGACGTCAGTAAAATTTAGATGATTGCTAAGCATCTAAAAATGTTGCACAAATATTTCATACTGGACTGTGTAATTTATTAAAGCAATGCAAATTTACTCAAACAATGCAGGTTAATTTTTTAGCATTGTTTTTATTGAAATCATTATTGCATCCATTTTTAGTAATATGTAATCAGTATGTAAATACAAGTGTCACTCAAACTTCACATGCATACATCATGCACATGCATTCAATATGGCCAAATGACAGCCATTTTAGTGCAAAAAATTCATCACAATTAAGCATTTCTGCCATTCCAGAACCAAATCTGTCATAAAAAATAATGGGTCCTTGATGCATGTCATCCCCCCCCCCCCCAGATCAGATTCAAAATGGCAGACTGATAAATGCTGTTCCAGGGCTATATCTCTGACATGCCTTGACTAATCCCCTTCAAACTTCACATGCATCTATTTCATGATCCAATTCATAATGGTCATTAAGCATTTCTTCAGTTCTTGAACTAGAACTTGCTCATTTAGGGACACATTTCATTCAAATTTTGTACATGCATTGATACATATCATTTTTTTCTCAGAACACATTCAAAATGGTTGACTGACGGCCATTTTGTTTTAACAAATGGTGTTCTGGGGGTCATATTTTTGACCAATCTTTTCCAACATTTTTTTTATGTGATTGATTCAATGTGGCCGACTGACAGCCAATTTTATTTAAAAACATTAAATCATCATTTTTGGTGTGTTGATCAAAGTGATCATTAGGTTACGGCTGCACCTCTTTTTTTTTTGGGAGGGAGATTTGACCAAATATGGTTGAAATGGTGGCCATTTATATTTGATGGTGTACATGCCCTGATCGTCTGTTTAATCTTTTTAAAGTATATTGATAGAATACCAAGAGATACATCTGTGGCAACAAAAATGTGACTTGATATAATGACAAAAAAATCACCAACAACTCATCATTTCTCAAACATAGTTTATTACCTTTCAAACAGTGCAACGACATAGACATACACCTCAAGTTGCTTTACTTTCATTTGTGAACTATGTTTTACTTTAAACTATGTACGTCTGATGTTGAGCACAAAGACAATGTCGAAAAAATCTGACAAGGTCTGTCATTTTCAATGACTTGTTTTCAGTTAGGCCACAATTTCGCAAAAATAAATGTCCTCTCATGGAGAGTTTGAGATGGAAATCTAGCACACTATTATGAACAGTGTTGTACAGAATAAATGTATGGAGAGTTTGAGATGGAAATCTAGCACACTATTATGAACAGTGTTGTACAGAATAAATGTATGGAGAGTTTGAGATGGAAATCTAGAACACTATTATGAACAGTGTTGTACAGAATAAATGTATGGAGAGTTTGAGATGGAAATCTAGCACACTATTATGAACAGTGTTGTACAGAATAAATGTATGGAGAGTTTGAGATGGAAATCTAGCACACTATTATGAACAGTGTTGTACAGAATAAATGTATGGAGAGTTTGAGATGGAAATCTAGCACACTATTATGAACAGTGTTGTACAGAATAAATGTATGGAGAGTTTGAGATGGAAATCTAGCACACTATTATGAACAGTGTTGTACAGAATAAATGTATGGAGAGTTTGAGATGGAAATCTAGCACACTATTATGAACAGTGTTGTACAGAATAAATGTATGGAGAGTTTGAGATGGAAATCTAGCACACTATTATGAACAGTGTTGTACAGAATAAATGTATGGAGAGTTTGAGATGGAAATCTAGCACACTATTATGAACAGTGTTGTACAGAATAAATGTATGGAGAGTTTGAGATGGAAATCTAGCACACTATTATGAACAGTGTTGTACAGAATAAATGTATGGAGAGTTTGAGATGGAAATCTAGCACACTATTATGAACAGTGTTGTACAGCTATTCAGTCATCCAGTACACTGTCCAGCCAGTCTTCAATGTCAACAGAGGATTCTTCTGTACTCTCTTTATTTGGTTGAAATGTTTTCTCTGCTACTGCTTTACTTCCATCATCTGAGTAATTAAATTAAAATAAATGTTTGTTTCAATGACCACTAGTATTTATTGGTTGCTGTATCTTACTGTAACTGATTTAATTTTCATTTATAGAAATGTTAATGATTTTATGACATTCTGAGAAGGTCACTGTTGTAGAACAGAGAAATATTATCACTGACTCAGTAAATTTGCGAAAATTCATCTCTTCCAAAGTTAATTTGATAATGAATCAGTGCGAAAGTTTAGTTTAGAGGTTTTCTTGAGAAAAGAAACCTATTTTTTTTTTTAATTGTGCAAATTTACAATATTTGTTGTCCACAATGACCTCCCCAATAAAAGAAAAACTATTTGTTCTTTGGCAAACTTTGACAAATGAAGAATGCCTCGTAAAGAGTTACTTAAATTTGGCTGGTGTCATGTCCAAATATGGACAAATGTATGTAAAATGAATCAGTATGGTTAGGTGATAATATGTGGACATTTTAAAAGTACTACAAATCTTTGGTAATTTGTAGAGAAAGAGATTCAATGACAATAAGTTTTGAAAAGAAAATGTAGGTGGACTCTGCTTTAGTATCTGTTCTGAATGGAAAAATGTATACAAGATAAGACACCTTCTGAGTACAAGGGTAAACGGAAAGCTGTTGATTTATTGTTGATCATCAATAAAAAAATATTGTTTTTGAAATATTTCCAATATTTTAGATGGCGAACGACTGTACAACCAACGACAGTTGTTGATTTGATGCAATGTTTTACTTACATACATCATAGAAGTTTGTCACTAGAGGCATGACATGTACTAGAAAAGGTGCATTGGGGAAATTAGTTTGATTTTTAACAGTAATTAACAAATAATAAGCTTCAGGAAATTCCTGTTTCAGACGTGGACATAAACTTACCTTTTATTTGAGTATCTGGTATTTCCAATTGACTACTGTCTTCATTAGGCATTACTAAAATAATCAATCATGATAAAAATATTATTAAATACATTTACCTACAAATTGCCTTCATCTGATTTGCTCCTGGTGAGGGTTCTGCAAACTTAATTTGAGTTTTCAAAAAATTGCATTGCAAGAATTTCAGCAGCAAACATTCAAAGACGGCATTTGAAGATACAGATTGGCTTTAGAACCCTTTACCTCCCTTTCTTTGAATCACTGCAGAGGTGTTTATGATCAAAATAAGTTATATTTTAATGATCCAGTACACAATACGTGCAAATGTTTGTTTTATATGCACTTCTATGCAGATACAATTCTAGAGCAGATATGGTATTACAGTTGTACCTGTTTGTGATACTGGTGTTTCTAGTGACAACAAAAAATTTAATTCATCCTCAGCTTTGTCATCTTCTTCTTCTTGTTGCCATGGTTTTTCCTCAGCATGATGTGTTATTTCTCTATCAGGCTTAACTGTCCTTTCAATGTCACATCTTATTTTTTGTTTTAGATCTTCACTTAAAACTGCAATGTGCGGAGTTGCAGCAGTGGGTTTTCGTTCAGTACATATTTCACTTTGAGTAGGATCTCTATCACGTCCAGTTACACTTGTAGTTTTTAATGATGGTACAGTCTTTCCAAGCAACAACTTTTTATTTTCGGCTGCCTTTTCTTCAAATTTTCTAATGGTGGTTGGCTGCAATTAAAAAGTTATAGATTAATACAGATACACAACATTGTATTTGAAATTACTATTCTTGTGATACAGTAATATGTTTTCATTAAAGTAGTTCAGATTAAGTCAAAACAGAATCCAAAAAATCAAGACGAGTCAGCTTATTGACTGCTGAGAAGGAGATTTTACAAGAACGCAATAAAACAGCCTGTGGCTGCACCGTTTTCTTGAGACACAAACTAAAATGTTGTGGCCCCATCCTCTTTTTTTTACACTTATTTTTTTATATAAAATTTTGTTATTTTACCAAATTACAAATTCTGTGCAAATATCACTAGATCGATGTATAATTGTTGCATCAATCATGTATCAGGAAGTTAGCATAACTGTGATTCATATTGACTTTGAAGGCATACTGGTCAAGATACTTGAATGCTCAATGTGAAATTGTTTGAGAACAAAACATTATTGCTGTACAGAATTTGTCATGAATAATACCTGAAAGATGTCTTCCTCAATCTGCAGTATTTTGTGTAGTGGTATGGTGTTCAGTGATGAACTAAGGGCATCAACATCCAATGAGAGAACATTGTTTGCTATCTGTGGAGGAAATAAACAACAAATGAGTAACCCACACATCCAATGTGAAGTATTCACTCATCTAGGCAGCATTTGATGAATTATATCAAATAAAACAAACACATAAAAAATGCCAAAGGATTCATAGCATTTCATAAACATTGTTGTTTTACTGTGGCACATTGTATACATGTACATCACAGAATCCATTGATTTTAATGCTGAACAACAACTGTGGTGCACCTCCAAGATGATGTTGATCAACTGGCCTTAGAAGACGCTGTAATGACCCTAAATTGGCCTTAGAGGGCACCATAATAATGCTCACATGTCCACAGGAACAGGCAATGAAAGGTGGATAGGCCTTAATTTTGACCCTTGAACAATGTTTGAATAGGACTTGAATTGATATGAAACAATGCTATAATTGTCACAGAGGAAAGTGTAACTAAATTCCAATCAAGCTTAGAGGGCAGCGTAATAATGTACCAAGTGGCCTCAGAAGGCAGTGTAACAATACTCACATAGGCAGTAGAGGGCAGTGTATCAATGTTCCAGTTGGCCTTTGAGGGCAGTGGAAACAACACTCAAATTGACCTAAGAGGGCAATGTAACAATTTTTCAATTTCGCTGGTTCCCAGCGTCCCTTGCAAATGGCAAGTAGGAAGCAGGTAACTAGTAGTCGCCATATTGTTCCACTGGGCCGGGATTTCAGCCCAAAGGCACGTGACTGAGTGACGTAATTTGAAAACATTCCAAGTTCCGTTCGACGTAAATGTGTAATACTACAATGGAGCCATGCTTGTACATTTTGCCTGCTTAGACTTGCATATTTGAGATGTTTCTTGCATTTCTCACTGTTTCTGCGCAAATTTATAACAAAAGAAACAGTTTTTTATTCGCTCAACTTTCCAAAGTAAAAGGAAACCCCTGAACGGCCACGAGCATAAGCACTGACACCAGGTTACCAAGGGAAATAGAACAAGCAACGAGAAAGTGATGAACCAATCAGAATGCCAGATTCATTACTAGTTACAGGCCTCTTGTGGCTTGGTACGCCATGACACACCATATTTTAATTGCCTTAGAGAGCAATGTAACAACGTTCAAAGTGGCCTTAGATGGCAATGTAACAACGTTCAAAGTGGCCTTAGATGGCAATGTAACAACGTTCAAAGTGGCCTTAGATGGCAATGTAACAACGTTCAAAGTGGCCTTAGATGGCAATGTAACAACGTTCAAAGTGGCCTTAGATGGCAATGTAACAACGTTCAAAGTGGCCTTAGATGGCAATGTAACAACGTTCAAAGTGGCCTTAGATGGCAATGTAACAACGTTCAAAGTGGCCTTAGATGGCAATGTAACAACGTTCAAAGTGGCCTTAGATGGCAATGTAACAACGTTCAAAGTGGCCTTAGATGGCAATGTAACAACGTTCAAAGTGGCCTTAGATGGCAATGTAACAACGTTCAAAGTGGTCTTAGATGGCAATGTAACAACGTTCAAAGTGGCCTTAGATGGCAATGTAACAATATTCTAATTGGACTCAAAGGGCAGTGTGATAATGTTCCAATTAACCTGAGATTAGCAATGTTGGGGTAGCAGCTCAACTATATCAGTAAAAATGAGTAAAGGAAATTTTCACAGGATTTAAATTTATATCATAGATTTTCACTAAGTTTTAAATTTTTCTTTTTGCAAAATTATTGTTGTGTACAATACGAGTTCAATGCAACATATAAAATGCGTGTTCACACATACTGTATTTGTTCTATTAGAAGCCAATCTCCAATAGACGTGCATATAAACCAAAACAAATTATTATATATGGAATCGATAAAATATTTCTAATTTTGAACATAGAAACACCTCAGTAATTAATGTAAAAGCATGCACCACTAACAGTGAAAATATGGTAATACAAATGCATGCTGTGTGACCACAAGTAAAGAACATGTTTGAATTTCATATTAAAAACATTATTTTACATGACTTCCATACATGTATTTCGTTTATGCCCAATCTCGAAAATGTTGTTACAACAACACTACATGTAGATTAAGATTGTGTATTAAAAAGAAAATGAAAACATGTGTATTGTCATTGGTTTATCAGTATCACTTGCTATCCAGTTACAAGATAAATCCTGGTAACAAGTACAAACACAATTGTGAATCAGCAATATCACGATGCTTTAAAAATCATTTAAACAACAAACTAATTAAGATTTGTTTGTTTTCATTTTCACTTGCAAATCAATTTAACAGTGCAATTTAATTCACATACAATTTGCAAGTGAGCGATGACAACTCATGAAACATTAAGCAAACAAGAAAGCCATCAGAGATGGCAGATTCCCTAGCAACCTGGCTTGGCTACTGTAAGACTATTTTTGAGTTTAGAGTTCTTTTAGTTGAGACTATATCACAGCAGACATTGCTAAATAAAGAAGAGCACTCGTTAAACATCTCTATCTGCAATAGTATTCCAGATACAACATGTATAAATTTTTTAATGAGGTCACATGACCTTATCACATCAAATATGTTGATCAAATCTAGTGTGCAATGTATTAAATATAACACTGTGAATGTTTCTATCCACAATAGTGCTCATGATATTAGAGATTTGGCTACAGAACTGCATTCACTGAAACAAAATGGCCACCAGCCAGCCATTTTTAGTCTGATCTGTCAAACGAAATATAAGATGTGATGTATGTGTGAAACAAAGTCTCAAAATCTAGGTCCAATAAAATCTAGTAAATAATTAAGCCATTCAAATTAATTTATACCTGAATTGACTTCATTTCTTCCTTCCATTCTTTCTCATCTTGAAAACAAAACTGAGATGATGCTGTGCCTGTAGATTATAAATTATAAACAGCTGTTATGCTGAAAATAACACACATTTGGGCATTGGAGCCTTTTTTTTATCGTTCAGATTCTTCTTCCACTTCTTCATACTGTTTTTCATGAGCTTGTTTGAGGGAACCACTGAACGGCACGCTGCCGATTCTTTTTTTATGTTGATAGAGGCTAATGTAAACTAGTACAAATAACTTTGATTGGTCTCATGGTTTGGCAGCTACCGGGTATTTTGGATTTAATAAAACCTAGAATACTCATTTGTTGCATTGTCTCTGCAATTTGAATTTTTTGTTGTAACATAATTGATATATGTTCTACCAATGTCATAAATCACACGACTTTTTGTGATACAATTAATTTTTTGTAAAATTGAATGAAATGTAAAAAATCTTTTTCAGAACCACTAATCACATTGTTCTGAAATCTGTATATACCCGGCGTATATAGCATGTTTGATAATTTATTTGTAACTGGTCACATTTGTTTGGCATCTATAATGGATTTAAACAAGCAGTCCCTCGGCTGAGATAGCTCCGCTGTTATCAATGCACATTTTCAATTAAAGAATTGAAGATATCATCACAAAATGAACAAATCTGAAAGAGGTCCACCTTATATGTACATATAATATCAAACCAATTGGACTTGCAGTTTTTAACAAGAAGTGGAAAATATCACTTTTTACCAAAAATAACATAAATATTCAGCAAAATTAAAGAATTGAATATATCATCACAAAATGAACAAATCTGAGAGAGGTCTACCTGAGGTATATATATACATGTATAGTATCAAAGTAATTGGACTTGCTGTTTTCAACAAAAAGTCGTAAATATCACTTCTTACCAAAAATATTCATCAAAGTTAGAGAATTAAAGATACCATCATGAAATAAAGAAATCTGATAGAGGTCTACCTGTAGCAAAGCAATACACCAACTTTTGATTAGTACAACTCACGAAGGCAAAACTTTAAGATCAAGTTAATGAAGAGCTTTCAACTTAGTTTTGTCGACAATACAACTTTAAGAACTACTGGGTACTAATACGTGCAGTAAAATTTGAGAATCATTTATTAATTAGTGGCTTTGTATATATTTGTTCATTTAATCTTTCAATAATTTAACTTGTTATTGGTAAATTAGAGTTTCTTTCAATCATTACTTTTAATCAAGTGCATATTAATTAAAATATATTGTGTCGTATCAATATGCATTAATTAATTGACTACTTAGACGACAATAATATAGACCATAGTCTATTAGTTAAATACACTTTTATTAACCCGTCTGAGGCCAAAAGGTTTGAAAGCTACCAGTCGGCAATTTTAAACTGAAAAAGAAAATCCATTTCTTGGTTGCCAAAGCTTCTGCACTTTTAATGTTTTTGTTTTTGGACCAAATTTGCACCAAAATTGGAATAATTATTTTAAATTTCCAGATGCATCTAGTAACCTGAGTTAGGTATCACTGTTTGAAGTTATACCGCTATATAGCTGTAGGATTGCATGGTGGATAGTCGTATAAAATAAACGTACAAGAGCAAAAAGGAAAGCAAATCTTTATCCTATTTTCATTATAACCAAATATTTTTTTGTTGCTGTGTCCTCAAAGTCCACTTTTTTTATCATGTTGTCACATAGACATGTACGGTACACACATAAATCATGTTAAAAGACAGGTACCATGTACATTGTAGTTACGAGTGAAGTTTGAATCTAACAGTCTGACCTGATTTTCATATGTTGAGTTCAGGCTAGCTAGGTAGTTCATAGAACAGTGCCTGGTGTAACCTATATCTGGTGAATCACAGACGATAGAAACAGATATCTATTTGTTTATTTTACATGCAAACTTATTTCCTACATGGCTGTAGAGCAACTGCACATTGTTATAGCAAGAATTTATAAGATAAAGAAAAGCAAGGGTGTGATTATGTAATGAAGATCTGATTCGAATTGATACAAAAATCTGTGCATAAATAGCAATGCAAATTAATGAGTTTGTGAAAGAACTGATTCAATGCTGCGATAATCTAAGCACCCACATTTTTGTATTGCAATCTGTAACACTGTTCGTAAACAATACGCTCAGATGACATGCCCTGAATGTGATCGCTTTCTAACACTTGCAAAAGGCAAGAGTTCGCTTCTCGTGAGATCTTCACCACATATCACCATTGGTTGTATAAATATAATTATTAAAGTGATGCAGATACCTGCTTGATTGATTAATATGCTGAAGTCACTTCCTCTCATTTGTATAGCTTCTTCCTCATCATCTGGCAGTCCTTCATATCTATCCCAATTACTCTCAACTTTACGCCGTGAAAACTTGCGATAATATTCCTGAGAAAAAAAAAAATTTTTTTTACCAAAACTAATTGACATTGAATATTATTATTCTAAATTTTAACTGGACCCATGTACACCAGGTTTCATAAAGGCGTGAATTTGTTTGAAATGAAATGCTTTCATTGGCTGTAGAATTCATTTGGTAACATCCCTTACCAAGAATTTTTGCATTTTTTTTTAATCATCAGCCGATTTACTGCCATGAGCTCAAAAGATAGATCTCACCAAATTTGTTTAAAATGCACCAAAATTAAAGTGATTCATTCGCTATGAAAACAAATTCACACCTTCATGAAACCCATTCTATGGTTTTATAATGCACCAGTCAATTGTTTCCCCCACCAGGGGCATATTTTTGTGGCACAAAACCCCCACCCCAGGGGTAGAGGAGAAACATTTTTAATTGTGTTCAATAATGATATTTTATATAAGACTTGATTTCAATACGTAATTATCATTCCACTTTTAACACAATATGACATATTTTTAATCTCAAAACCAGTTTAATGAAGTTGCAGAACATTACAATGTATTTCAATTACAAAAACGACAATTAAGACAACATGATTGATTATTATTGTGCAATGATCGACTTTTTTGAAATGATTTTAATTTACATAATACAATTTAAAATTGAATAAAAAATCAACATTTTGTATTTGTAATAAAGTGTTTGGATACTGTGTACAGTAGTGTAATAGTGTGTCAAATGGGGTTGCGAGATCTGTTTTAATACATTGATTCAATGCCTAATTAATATTCATGAATAAATTAGTGAACCTGTATGGAAAGACCACCTGTCTACCAGATATATCCTAGCCCAGAGGGTGATTTGACTATAGTCATACCAGATATATTCTAGCCCAGGGGGTGATTTGACTATAATCATACCAGATATATCTTAGCCCAGAGGGTGATTTGACTATAATTAACCAGATATATCCTAGCCCAGGGGGTGATTTGACTATAGTCATACCAGATATATCCTAGCCCAGGGGATGATTTGACTATAGTCATACCCAATATATCCTAGCCCAGGGGGTGATTTGACTATAGTCATACCAGATATATCCTAGCCCAGAGGGTGATTTGACTATAGTCATACCCAATATATTCTAGCCCAGGGGGTGATTTGACTATAGTCATACCAGATATATTCTAGCCCAGGGGGTGATTTGACTATAATCATGCCAGATATATCCTAGCCCAGAGGGTGATTTGACTATAATTAACCAGATATATCCTAGCCCAGGGGGTGATTTGACTATAGTCATACCAGATATATCCTAGCCCAGAGGGTGATTTGACTATAGTCATACCAGATATATCCTAGCCCAGGGGATGATTTGACTATAGTCATACCCAATATATCCTAGCCCAGGGGGTGATTTGACTATAGTCATACCAGATATATCCTAGCCCAGAGGGTGATTTGACTATAGTCATACCCAATATATCCTAGCCCAGAGGGTGATT